AACAGCGGGAATCGCAAGAGCTCATTCAAAGTGCAGTAGGCGTCAGATGGGGGCAGCGTTGTAGAACTGCGATCTGATCAGTGATTTTGCTCTGCAACCCAGCGTGTTTCTTTTACACACTACTTCCTCGTCTTAGGGATTATCAGTAATTGCCTTCATAAACGGCACAAGGCATGAAGATTGGCTAAAAAAGGGTTTCTCGTTTACAGGGACTTTCGGCCCCACATCATGCAGCACGCATGGGCTCCGTGTCAAAAGACCTGGAGAATTAGATTCCCTATGGGATTTGTGGACTGTCCGTCCAGTAAAAAATGTCTGCCGTCCCTTCTACTTCATTTACAAAAGTGAAAACGCAGCCTAAGCCTGCCTCGTGAATAAGTTATAAACATCCGCACCGATTAAGATAGGGAGAAACGCATCTAATGCGAGAGATGCGTTTATACAAGAACCACAACAGTGGCAACAATTTCGGCTAGAAGGAATTTCGAGTATAACTCTAGGCCCCAACAGTTATGTAACCACTGCAGCTCAAACTGATTTTTTTAAGGGGTAAGCCTGCATGCAAGGACTCGAGCAAGACAGTGGATGAAAAACTTCCTGAAAAAAGGTAATTTAGGTGCATAAAGACGAACGTGAGGTTTTTTAAGAATGTTAAGTGCCCCTTGAACAAACGGCCAACTCTAGTCAAAATTGCTTCGATTTCTCAGAATATCAGAGGCGTCGCTGAAAGGGTTACGAAGGAAACAACTGCCTAGGACTGTTCAGGGGGAATTAAGGAAGAAACCAGGCGGATATTAGGGGGCTTGGGGCTTTTAGATCTAGCGTTTTGTAAAACAATCCTGAAATCTACTCGGTCGATCGTAATCCGGAGGATGATCGATTCCGGCATTGTACACCTTCTCGGGACCAGTAGCAATCGATTTCCGGGCCTATGCAGGAGTCTGTTAGACAAAGAAAGCCAGTTTTGCCTTTACGATTGCATCCAAGAATTTATGAGGCAGATGGTAAGGTCTAAAAGCCAGCGTCGAAAGCCATCAAACTAGATTGAAGAAGTCAACTTCGACAAATTATAACAGATTAAGGCGCGTTTTTCAGGCATCGGACGCCTTTCGCAGCGCCTGTTCCACGATGCCTTGTCTGACGGGATAACTTGGACCACGCAATCGGCCCAGTGTTGTGTGTTTGTGTGGGGTGGCGAAATGGTGGACTGAAAGTCAGGCTGTCACGGCTCACGTGGTTGTCACCGCTTGCGAGAATTTCGGCCTCGCTGAATTTGAATGTGTGGCCGGATCTCGTCGAATGAGCCGCAGCTTGAGAGCTGGCGTCATTTCTCCGCACCGCTGCAGGGTGTTCGGCCATTCTCGTTCGGAGCTGTCTTCCGGTTTCTCCGACGTAGTTGCTTTGTCCGCGAGTGCACCAGATTCGATAAACGACTCCAGACGTTTCTTGCTGTGGCAGCGGGTCTTTCGGTTTCATCACCTGACACCCGATGGTTGCCTCCGGTCTGTGTGCAACTTCAACTTCAAGTGGTGCGAGAAGGCGGCCGACAGCTTCCGAAACGTTCTTGACATACGGAAGCGCTCGCCAAAATTTGGTGTCCGTGCGGTTAGGCCTTTCGTCCCTTTTGCGTATGCACCGGTTGACGAAGTTGCGCTGGTAGCCATTGGCTTTGAAGACCCGTCGGAGTTATTGTAGTTCAGCAATCTGGTCCTCCGGCTCATTGCAGTGAGTTTCGACACGCCGATAGAGCGTCCTTACACAACTGCGTTTGTAGCTGATTGGGTGGTTGCCGTTGAAGTTCAGCCACTTGCATCGTATTTGTCGCTTTCCGGAACACTTTGGTCTTTATTCCGCCACAATCTTTGCGGCATACGAGGACATCCAGTCCTACAGTAGCCAACAGCAGCGTGGATGTCCACTCAAGCTCGAATACGTCGGCTCGCCTTAACTTGGCTGCCGTTCAACCGGACGAGGGCGCCCTAAGCTTCTCCAGATATCGAGCTGAGTGGAGGAGTGATAATGG